CCCCACATTGATCAGCAATTATTCCACCAGTAAATTGCTTTTGCTGTGAGCAAATGTTTCTATAGATAGGCTGATCAATGAGGTGGTGGTGTGGGGGGGGAGTGATGAGTGTTTTCCAGCACTTGCCAGTGCATAAGTTCTGATCCGCCTTGTCACTCTTCATTACGATTCCCTTGAGATCTTGTGTTCGGTTTGACTTCCACTGCAGTGAGTAAAATGTGTAAGATAGTCAAAACGTTGCAAGCAAATTTCAGAAAGGAAGTTTTCTGATTGATACTTTCAGTTCTGTTTCTATCCCTTGCACATTTCTTTATTATGTGGCTTCTTCGGTCATTTTTTCATAAGATACTTTCACTTCTATTTCTTGCAGATATTATTGATATTATTTTTTTCATTAGATAATTTCGTTCTATCCCTCGCAGATTTTATATTTTTTATTGCGTAGCTTCCATCATTTTTTCACTACTCTTTTGATTTCCTTTTTTCTTAGAGTGTAAAAAACCTCCATCTTTTTTGCCTGACCCTTGGCTTTTCTATACATATTTGTAATTCTTAATTTTATCTAGAGGAATTTTTCTTCAAATTGTAAATGCAATCTGACGTTTCTTTGCTAACTTTTTTTCCATTGTTACATTTATAAACCATACGGCTTTCCGCATTACTCAATAAATCCAGGGAAGGCCGTGCTGTTTTTACTCCAATTTCCGGCTAACGTGTAGGATCCTTAAATTGGAATTTTTTGATCTTATACTTATTTTGAATTTTGTTCTTTTTGTGTAATTGTACTGCATGTGATTTTTCCGCTTTCCCCCTCCAGCCGTCAAATTTTTACGATATCGGCGCTTGTCTTTGGACTCACATTTGTTTACCCATTCGGTTTCAGATGTCGTTTGACGAGCTTTATGAGAGTTGTTTCCGAAATGCATCACTTGTGAAGGTCCCACATGGGAAGCCAGTCAGTTCAATGTTTGCTACTGAGAAGCTGGATTGGTTAAAATATTATATTTAGGCAAAAGATGACGCATCTTTGCTAGTTACACTGGATTATGTGATGAATAGTAGTCAATATGTGGTGTTTTTTCTGACCGCTGGAGCAAAAGGCGCTGATCTGGGACTCAAGCTGGATAATATGATGAAGAAAAAGAATGAAAAAGGCGATAAGGACAAAGCACAAAAGTTAGTTTACTTTTATCATTCTAGCTTGTTCTGGTTGCTTGAATTATTTTTGAGAGCTTATGGCACTCTGAACTCATGATCCTTCATTTGTATATTTAGATAAAAAGAACTTTGAATTTAACAAGCGCGTAAAATCCCAACTTTTTTTCACATCTGTACATCTTTTCTTTCAAATTTTTTCGTCTAAAAAAATATAAGTTTTGAATGAATTTGTTGAGCTCTGTTTAGCGGTCCAGTTGATCTTCAACTTACCTGCAATTTTTAATTTTTTTTGCTTCGTATAGTTGCTTTGGGGTTATGAGAAACCACTAGACGTCACGCGGCATATACACTTGTGGTTTATGAGGTGCTTTGGGTTGTATGAATGTGAGAGCTTGCCGGGGTGATGCTTGGCTGTACAACTACCTCATTCAAAGTAGAAAATGTGATATTTGAAGAATGGGGTTCTAGGAATACTTCATTTTCACACATAAGCCGCACGAATGCGTTTTCGGTCTTCTGACCTCATTTGTACCCATGGCAACCCAAATGCTTCCCAGATTGTTTTGTTTGAGAGCTTAGCAAAAAATAATTTGCTGAATAGATTATAACTGCATGAATGACTGGAATTTCCTCATTCCACGCGTTCATTCATAGAAACGCAGTGTAGGTTTAAGACTGGCTATGCCTAAGTCCCATGCACTGGAATGAGTGAGTGTTGAGCCTCCAATGATGAGCGACTGGGCGTCATGCGGTGTGCGGATCAAAGCGGCCGCCGAAAGTGATGGATACACCGGCGCTGATCTCAGAACGCGATAACAAACGACAATCTTTAGCGACGTAACTTTGTGAAGAGTGGATTAGATAGTTAGCTTACGATTGAGAGAAGAAAAGAGATTGAATTAACTGGGAAAAAAATATTATCTTCGATGGGCTTTTATAGGCACCGTCCACCATGAGGGTGGGTAGATTTTGATGTCATATAATAGCAGACCTTGTAATTAAGCAATCGCCCAAGTCTCACTGCAGAAGATGAATTTTAAAGCGGGAAAACTGCTTCAGAAGCTAGAAGCAGCCAAACTGGCTCCGCCCATCAATGCCGGTGGTTCCAGATACAAGTTCGGTTTTGGGCTCAGCGTAGACAAAAAGTCACAAATTTTCATAGTGAAGGACAAACCCATGAGCATTTCAATATACATCCAAAGCCCAATTTCGAGCTTGTTTATTCAGACCACCTACGTTGATGGGCGGAGCCAGCGTGGTCGTTTCTACCTTCTGTAGCGGTTTCCTCGCTTTGGAATTCATCTTTTGCAGCGAGACTTGGGCTATTGCTTACTTAGGGGTCCCGCTATCATACGACATCAAAATGTCCACCTTCAGTTTGGGTGGACGGTGCTTATAATAAAAGATAAAAGTACCCTTAAAGAGGTTTATCTCCCGATAAAAATCCTCATTCCAGCTCTCCAGCTCGTCTTCGACGTTTTTTCTCGATGAAAAAGAAAAAGAAGAAGGACGGTAGCGTCAATGGTGACTCCACGCTAATGTCTGTCGTCCTTGTGGACACCGATTATCGGTCCAATACAGAAGATGGTGGCTCATCACCACAATTGGCCCAGCCTGGTTGGTACGTGTACGCGCCGCAGTTGTTGGCTACAAAGGTTGGTTGAGGGGGATTTTTGTTGTTGTTTTTTGGAGTTCATCGGTATTTTTTAGAGCCGTTTGCTACGAGCTCTCGGTTTTGAATTTCCGCCATCGTTGATTATAGTGGACACAGCGTCGAGAAGTGTAGTAACAACTGAAGGTCGGAGATTGCTGGCAGATGATGCGATGGGAACGTCTTTTCCATGGTGGGTATCTTGTGGATCTCTCTCCAATTTCCATTTCCCAAATTTAGACGTCCTTTTCTGCATTTTTCATTTATTTTGTTTTTTTTTAAATAAGCTAGCAATTGTATTCATTGGCATTACTCTACTTGTACAATTTGTTTTCGTATTGTAGGTGGCCGCCAGCTGCTGCGGAGGTTCTCAAAGGAGATGTTTTGAGGCGAGTAAACGGGTCTGTAGAAACGGTTGATTTCTCCACGATCAAGACGACGGTGCGAGGATTACTGTTTGGAGCGCAATGGGTATGTTTCATAGTTAGAATGCGATACCTTCGAAATTTCGGAAAGAATTTTTTATTCGTTTTGACATTTTTCTTAACACGTTGACGACGAGCCATTTTTTTAATGTCTGT